TCCTTTCACTCGTCAATCGGAAAGATGTTCTTCTCCACGACAACGCACGTCCACATGTGCCACGTTTTACGCAACACAAGATTATGGGGTTGAGTTGAGTTCTCCCTGACGCACCATATTCTGCATATTAATTGGAAAATGTATGCAAATGTGGAAGGTGTTAAAGAGGACATCGACATGTTCTATGCTTCAAAGCCAAGTGATTTCTTTAATCAGGGCATTAGCAACCTGACTAAATGTTTTGTTTTAATATGTAAGTTGTTCGGGTTTTTTCATCTAAAAAGAAACGACATTAATTTTTGACGACCTAATATATTAAGAAAAATAATATTCACATTGTATGTTTTTCTGAAATTAGGCATACCAAAAAAAAAAAAGTTTTAACCCAAGTAGTTTTAGAGTTTATACGAAAGACAGATTTTTGAATAAGCATAATTTAGGGATAGATATTTTATTTCTAGTTAAAAATAAATATAATTATAAGCTAATACCAGAAATATATTCAGTGAAAAATGAAGTGCTTGCAGTTGCTGTATGTTTTAATGAAATGAATATCACCATAGCCAATATTTATATATCACTCAGGATATACCTTGATAGAAATTTTTTTCAAACATTGGTTAAACATAATGCGAATTTGATAATTATAGGTGATTTAGGTAGTAAGTACATAGCCTGGGGATGTAAGAAGATAAATATTAGTGAAAACTATTAACTAGATATAATATATAACTTTAATAATGTTAAATGATGTAAGGTATACATATACTAACAACGTAACCAGAGAATCGGATATATTAGACAATATTATCACTACAGAAAAGTACTGTAAACATACTTTTTTTAATGTAGATGAAGATGTAAATAGTGATCACTTACCATTTTTAATTTATATTAAGTCAAATGTTAGGAAAAAGCAAACAAAGTAATTTTTAAAAGTTGAAATACAATTCTAAAAAACAAACCGGGACAAATTTAATAATATTTTAATAAAATGTTTGGAAAATTGTGAGTTTGAAGAAGTTAAGGATCAAAATGAGATGGCTTATTATGTTGATATTGTAAATACAGGCTTTAATAATGCTATACAAGAATGTATTCCTAAGTATAGTCCTAAAAACATAAATGGACTTTACTGAAGAAAGCAAAAATGCAATTAATGAAAAAAAAAAAAGGAAATTATTCCAAAACCTGACAAGATTAAAAGTAATCCAGCTAACTACAGACATTTTCGAAAGAATAATTAATAGATTATTGAAATGTTTGGAAAATAATGGTGTTTTGAATAAGTATCAAACTTGTTCTATGAAAAATCAATCTACCTCAGAATAACTAGTCAGGCTTACAGAATCTGAGGTGGGTGGTTTCAATCATAAAAATCCAGCTGGAGCTGTGTTTTTAGATGTGATAAAATCTGGCTAAATGGACTTATTTACAAATTAGTTCATGATTTTAAGTTGCCCTACCTTATAATAACATGGATAAATAGTTTTATAAAAAAATAAATTAAATTGTATAAAATTTAACGATATAGAATCAGAAGTTTTCCTGCCTCAACCCCAGTTTTAATATCATTTATTTCCGTTTAACATCTTTTTGTAAGGGCGATGGTTGGGAGCTTCACATAGTAGGAATTTTAAGGTGGTTTTATTTCTACTTTAAGAACTTTAAGGGTAACTGCCTTCCCACAACTGGCTGCAGACAGTAAAAGACAGTAGGATTTGAAACGTTGTGGGTGTAAGCACTCAGCTCGGTAACCTTAATTGATTTTCCATGATAGCTGGCTAGTTTATCATCAGCATTTGGATATTGCCTGATAGATGGGATATCTCCAACGCATTTGGATGCTATTACCACAGGCATTATCCGATATGACATCAAGTTGACAATTAGGACCAACTTATTATATATATATATACACTTTTATTATTGTGTTTGGATTGAAATTTAAACACTAGAAATCTGAGACCACAAAAAAGTAACAAGTCATAAGAAATACAAGTGTTTTCTCACATTTAGAAAATAAACCACTTTGCAAGATGTTGAGAATAGTAGCAAACCGTTAAACGACGAGTTTCTAAAACTTTCGCAAGAAAGGAAATACATTACTCATCAAGTATAGTTGAAGGAAGGAAGAAATAAAATACATTACTCATCAAGTATACTTGAAGGATGGAAGAAAGAAAATACATTACTCATCAAGTATAGGTGAAGGAAGGAAGAAAGGAAATACATTACTCATCAAGTATAGTTGAAGGAAGGAAGAAAGGAAATACATTACTCATCAAGTATAGTTGAAGGAAGAAAGGTAGGAAATACATTACTCATCAAGTATAGTTGAAGGAAGGAAGAAAGGAAATACATTACTCATCAAGTATAGTTGAAGGAAGGAAGAAAGGAAATACATTACTCATCAAGCCAGTGGAACACTCACTACCATGGCTTATCCTGCACAAAGTCTGGATATGAACATTGCTGAAGTTTTATGGGTTCTGTAAAAACTGAGAAAGTTAAAAGGCGGACAAACAATTTTGATGAATTTTGGAGAGTATTAAAGAACATTTGGAACAATATTACACGTCGTCAAACTGAAAATAAGGTGTAATGCACTGTATAAAGTAAAGGGCAAGCATAAAAAATATCAATTCATAATGTCAGAAAAACACGTTGGTTGAAGAAATATGAATTAATATAACATGATAAAAACCTTGTAAACATTAGTTCTATAACTTATTCGCTTTTCTTTAATATCTTCTGTCATATTTGGTTGTGCCATTAATAAATTCACTGTCTAGTTGTCGTCTCTCATTCTTTGTGATCCCTGTACGTGGCTTCCGAGTGGCACAGCGGTATGTCTGCGGACTTACAACGCTAAAAACCGGGTTTCGACACAGATAGCTCATTGTGTAGCTTTGTGCTTAACTTCAAACAAACAATCCCTGTACGAGTATCACATATTTATTTCTGTATTTTCATTACTGTATATAACATGAGTATAAATATATATAAAAAATATTATCTTGACATAATAGAGCGAGCTTCAAGTTTATTATTTTCAACTTCTGGCGAAAACGTAATAGACAGTACAATATATTTTATGGAATGTTTACTAAGAATTATTTTAAAGCCAAAACTACCTAGCTTGCTTAAGCTTTGAAGTAGGTAATATTCCGGAAACTTCAGTAAACAATTTGCACTCTTAAAATTCAAGATACATAGACACCACTTGTCACATACAGTTCATCATTAATGATTAGTTTAATCATTTTACTAATTGCGCATATTTTGATACTTTATTATCTTTAGATCAATTAACCTCCACAAAAGAACAGGCATGCCGAAAGTGTATCCTTGTATTATCACTGTTTTTGCGTAGAATTAATTATATTTATTTACACTTTTTCAGGAAATTATATTCTATAAATTGTTTACAACTCTAAAGCATTTCCTACTTGCAAGGAATATTAAGTATCTGGTACTCTCGTTAAATAAATATAACACCGGGCACATGTATAAATTGTGTTGTTAAATGTACGATTTGTGTTTCTGCACTCGTTTAAAATCTCGCGATAATCTAACTTAAGTTTTTGACAAAAGGTGGCGTTTCAAATTGCACAGCATTTCATCATTGCTTCTTACGTTTTATCCAATAATATAATAACATGTCTTGAGTAGATTGTGTAGTTAGTTAGTTTTTGGTTAAGCACAAAGCTAAGAAATGGGCTATCTGTGCTGTCCCCACCACTGGTATCGAAACCCAGTTTTTAGAATTATAAGCATTCAGACTTACCGCTCTGCCACTGTGAGGGGGCGATTGTTTAGAGTGTGTGTTTATTGAAATAACATTTAAATTAGTGCATCCTTTGAATATTATAAAAATGGCATTAAACTTTATATGTTGCTTCGTGCTAATATGAATGTGTATTGCGATATTCTAACTTCTTGTACATGGAATGTTATTTATAGCTAATTTCTTTTGAACTGTTTGGTTCAATTTAATGATGCTTTTTAAACTATTATAGTTTTTTTTTTACTTTTAACAGCTTTATAAATATTGCCTTTTTTTACATAAGCCACAGTTTCAATGCGATATACGGAGTTTATTCTATTACTTAATGCATTAATTTTTTTGAAAGTCCAGGTCAAAATAAAATTATCTAATGTGGATATAGGATTAATACATTTACAAATGTCAGTTGGTGTCACATAATCTAGATTAGTGGTAGAATGATAAGCTGAAAGGTAAAAGCAAGAAATACCGAGTACCAAAAGTCGAAAACAACTTTTTCGTATAAGTTGGACGATTAATTATTCTTATTACATGAAAAAATGATAATTAAGACGCAGAAAGTGCATTTGTAACACTTATTGTAGCAACTTTATTAGAACGACGTTTTATTCACATGCTTTAAGCTTGTTGTATGGTGTAAAGTGATCTGTGCTTCTTTGAGCTAACCCCAATTTAATTTTCTTTTAATTTCATTTATGATAATCAAGAATTAAGCCTACTAATTAATGTTACAATTCCAAATAGAAGTAGTTCAATGAAAACAAAAATGCTTAGAAATACACACCACACTTCAGATACATTGAACTTTTTTGAAATTTATTATTCTGTCCCGTCCAGCAGTTCTATCTCCAAACTAATAACGACTAAGTATGATATGTAAGAGAAATTATCAGGGGTGTGTCTGCGCCAATCAAATGTATACCGAACATTGACCGGATTTTAATATTCTCACATAAACTTAGGAATGTGCACTTGTTAGTTAAGCAATAACCTTTTATGTTATTCTTACTACACAGGAATTAGATTAATATATCTTCAGTAGAAGTGATACCTTAAATAGTGTTTCTGTTATAAACATATAATTTTACAAATGTCTAAGTTACATATAAAATCTCGAATTGTTAATTCGCTAAACAGATTATGAAGAAATCAATCATAATTCACCATGAAAAAAATAAATACACCAAACTTCAAATATTTTCTTTTAATAATGGTTTACAGTTCTGATAGATACAAGATCTGTCCTTTATAAAATGCATTTATTTAAATCTATTCTGAATAAAGTCCAATAGTAACTGTCTGCATATCACTTACAGAAAAAAATCAAAACAGTTTTACGCACTAATAGATTTTGTACTGTCTCTTGCTTAACCTATACAGGTGATTGTAGCTAACTACAATGTTAAATCATGTTCTCTGCCCTAGCATAAAGCTACATATAATGATTTAGTCGCATGTTCGTCAATTTTATATATGCCGTATAACTGTAAAGTGACTGCAATCCTATTTCAAAATTGAGCATCATTTTGTATAAAAAATACAATCACTCAGTTTCAAGGAACAATAAATACAATCAGCTTCATATACACTACCACAGTGTACGAGTCAATACAGCCTTAATTGCCTCTGTGCAAAATCATACAATAGAATTAATTATCACAAGATTGGATATAGAAAATTTTCATGTTATATGGCAAAAACAGCTTCATGGTGTTGAAGGTATTCTGTTAATAATGACAGATAAAGGTTTTATTGTCACTAGGTGAACACGTGTGTTGGAAAAAAGTATAGGTGCTTTGGTGGATTTTGAGTGTCATTCGATTACATTTATTAATTGGAAATCCATGCAATTAGTAACAGCTTGAAGGGAGCTACTGCAGATGGTTAACTGACTTGATCAACACTTTTCCACTATAACAAAAACGTACAACTAAGGTCATAACTTATAGTTTACACTAGTCATATTGGTCACTCTCTCGTGTGCGTCACGTGCATAAGGTTCCGGAATCAAAAACCGGTCTGATGTCACCGTAAGGTCCATTTTCTTCTAGACTTTTAACTACTGGAATGTTGTGACACTTTATCGTGTTATTTGGTGCTGTTCGTTTGTCAGTCTTATTGAAGCTTTGAGAAGTATCGCTTGGCACATTACTAGCTAGTTTATGATGGTGTTGACTTCCGTCTATAGTGAAAAGCCTTTCATCCTTTCCAGAAGAAGAGATGTTTACACGCATTGGAGGGGTAGGTGGTCTTCTTCCGCCTGATGTATGTGAAGTATGGAATTCTAATGAATCAGTAGTTCCATACCCATGTGCTGTGAGGTTTGCATCTTCAGGCTCTATAGTAAATATAGAACCGCTAAGATCGTCTGGGCTACTTTCCAAGTGGCTCACTGGCTGCATTCCTTCATCTGTTCTTCCATCCAGTTCTGACATCAAACCTTCTGGTAGACAAATCGATCTTGGTGTTGTTACTAAAACTACTGCTTGAGGATCGTAGACGGAAGGTAATGGCTCAGTTCCTGACTCGGCTGAGTAGGGATAAGGTGGCGGGGAGAGAGATCGTACATGGGCAGGTAACCCTACTCCAGAATAATACAGCACAGGAACCCTTTCCTCTTCACCGTTAGAAATGTTCTGTGGTAAACACTGTCTAGATAAGAAAGAGTTATTATGATGGCCAACAACTTGTTGAGGAAATAGACCTAAACCCCTCTCACACAACATATTCTTACTTTTGTAATAATTCTCTTTTGCCTCAAATCCTTCACTAGGATATCCATCTTTGTTTCTCTCCAAAGAATGAGAACTATGCTTTCGGCATGAAGATCTACCATGACAATTCCCTTGAAACAAACGATGTAGTTTCTTATTTTCAGCGCCTCTAGCTCCATCACTCATCCCAGGACACAGGTCTCCTCTCGTGTAGCCAAGAAGACTACTGGTTACTGAACAGGGACGACTAGGCTGGCGTGGATACTCTCCCAAACTCAACTCATCTTCAGCAAACTCATCTTCACTAGCTACAGTTCGAGCTTCTACTTCACTATCATCAATGTCTGAGTTACAGCTTTGGTTTCCATCTTTGCCATCTGAATTTCCAGAAATTTCTTCATAGACCGGATTGAACAGGTCTTTATCCCTATTGGAACGCATACTGCCAGCTTTTTTACCCGTGAAGAAAAAGTTTGTGTGGTTTACAGATATTAAATGGGGGTGTCTATATCTGTCAAACTTTACATCAAGCAGCTAGATAAAAATAAATGACGTGATTTATATTAGTATGACAGCAAACGATCAGAGACAAGGACAACTTAAAAAAACAAAAACAATATACTTTAAGTAATTCGTAAGAGTTTCTTGTAAAAACTAATATAGGCAGACATAGGTAATCATTTCCATTCTTTAGTTGTGAAACTTGGAGTCTTATAGAAATGAAACTTAAGGAAAAGATTAACGTGCATAATTCAATTTCAAGTTTCAATATGTTTACGAGAAAAGTCACTTTTACAAAACTGGGAAACCTTAACACAGAGTTTATGAATAAAATGTTGCACTGTTCAGTTTCAGGTAATTAACTGGGTGTTTCAAGAAAATATATTTGAATGAAAATATAATTAACTTTTACGATTTTATCTTTATTAGTTATTTTACTGATCGCCTAAAACTTTCTGCAATGTATACGAACAGAAACAAGTTATACTAACCTCAATAGGAGTCAGTGTTTGGGTCTCAAGTCCACGGTGATTGGTTAGTCTTATTGGGTGGTGGTTGATAAATACGTCATTATAAGTAACTCCATTTGAGTTACCGACGTCACATCTGGTTTGATGGTCACTTTTACATGGGAGAAAATTCTGGACCTTCTTCTTATGCCTAAGAAAAAAACAACACAAATGTTGCTAGATATAATCCTGCTAGTTTCTCAGACTTCAAAGTTCAGCAAAATTTAAAACTAAATTAAAATTGTGATTGTTTGATATAGAAATAGAAAACATATCTAAATCTTACAAATAAGAAACTTTGATATTCCTCACCCACCCACCCACACACACATAAACACACGCCTTCATTCTAAGTTTGACTAAAGTATTTACGCTACTTTTTCAATCAACAGGTTTGTTGGCTTGTTGTTAAGCACAAAGTTACACAGCTAAATATCTGCCTACCACTGGTATTGAGACCTAATTTTTAGCGTTGTGAACCCTCAAACTTAGGGCTGAGCCACCAGAGTAGGGACAATTACAAAATACAACGCGTTCTTTCAATGCAACGAAGTGTCCAGATATGATTAACGTGTCGGGTTGTCGATCGAAGAACACAGGACTTGAGACATGACGATATTGAACGTGCCCCATCTTTTCAGTTGAGGGTGGGTTATTTTTGTGGCAGTCAAAGTCGTTATTTAGTTCAAAGAGGCGGAAAAAGTGTTTAATGCAATTTAACACACGTGCACAATATGGTATCATTCGGGTTTAAAATTCCGGTTCCATACATTGCAACAGGATAAACGTGTTAGAGTAACATTCTTACTATTGACATGAAGAACAATACATTTACTATTGCATCGTAGTTCCTTTAATTTATTATAAAGATAAGCAAAACTGTTTTTTAAAAACGATTTCATCTGCAATACATGGTGCACATAGTTTATCGGAGAAAACGATAATGTTGAGATCATAACCTCTGACGACCTCAAAATAGTGGTATGTTACAACAAACATCAACATAGTATTGCCACTGCTATGTTTTGTTTTTGTTGTTGTTCTTTTGTAGGTGCATACCAGAGGTTAAATTGGAATATTTTGAGCAGTAGTTATGGAGTAGTAGGTTAGCTTTTTATTTATATATATGTTGTGAACCGTGGTGTCTTTCTGAGCGTTCGTCTCCCGTTAGAAAAGCTGCGCACGCAGGCAAAGTTCAACATTCACTTTTGAAATGACGGGAGAACAGGCATGAATAATGTTGATGCCAAATTTTATTTAATAAGCAATATATTCTACACTAAATTGTTAGGAATTAATCCCACTATCATTCACATTTCAAAATGTGATGTAACTTAAAGAATGAAAATGTATATTAATTTACCGTATGTTATTGTTGTGCAGCTCTTAGCATGACCGAAATGCTCAACAATTATTTTTCTCAGTGTGCAGTATAAGTAGTTCAGAGTTTTGACTCTGAGTGAAACCAAGAGTGGAAAACAATTTACCTGTTTAAAGTACATGAAATAATATAAATTTATAGATTACCTTAAACATTTCCTGTCATTGGGGACAGGTACGTTTGCCTGTTATTAAATAAATCTGTATGTTAAAGCTAAAACAATTAGGTGGGAAAATCTGATTGAAATGCTGAAATCTTATGTTCAAGTAACATGAGTAACAACATCATGTATTTCAGTTATCAGACAATATTTTGCTATGCATGTAACAATCTAATCGTAATATTAGTACTAAATGAAAGTTCACAGGTAAACAAATAAATTCTGTTAGTTATTTTGTTAGTATGTGTTTCTTAAAAGGTACAAACTCAACACCACTAATCTGACAGTAGACTGTCCATCGTGAATATTGTTCATTAGATTTATCATGAGTTTAGCAGTTTTTCATAACTTATCAATCTCTCCGAACTATCAGGAGCATAAGGCCGAGACGTTTCCACTTTATCTTCATCTAATATTTCACATACGTGTATTATATTATAATATTGACCTTGTTTTACATTTTTACCAATGTGTGTGTGTGTATTGTTTGTACAATATACAATGGTTGAATTGTTATAGTACAAATCAAACACCAGATCTTCAAGTTGGCATCTTCTACTTATTAAACACAGCATATTCTACAAGAAAACTATCAGTTTTTCTAACAGCCGTTTGGGCCTGACTCGCACATTTGACTAAGTTCCCTACATATCTCTCAAATATACTGGAAAGTTATGAACTGATTTCTTTACTTTCTAACATAGCTGTTCCACTTTATAAACCAAATCACCGCGTGTATGTAATAGACAGTATTTAGAACATTTAAACAAATGATAAATAAGATACAACAACAGATACGCTATAGAAAAAGGTTGGGTTAACCATCCTTGTAATCGTTTTCATCATCAGCTGTGAATACAGAAAACAATCTCTTGTTAGGAACAGAGAATTTCGGAATAATGACTCGCTATCAATAGAACGGAGTGTGTTCGTATAGTGAAGCTGACATGGAATACAGTAATAATTATTTTGAAATATTAATCTTACTGATTATAAGATTATTTGATCTTTTTATCTCTCACATATGAATAACATGTATTAAAGATTGTAGCTTGATCAGGAGTCGATAGTGATAGAATTTGTATGATACGGTATGAATAAAAATAAATTTATGTTTACATTCTTTATTCTGATTGGTCCAACCCCAGAGGTTAGTTTGTTTTGGTTTGGTTTGAATTTCGCGCAAAGCTACACGAGGGCCATCTGCGCTAGCCGTCCCTAATTTAATAGAGAAAGACTAGAGGGAAGGTATCATCATAACCCACCGCCAACTTTTGGGCTACTCTTTTACCAACTACAAGTGAGATTAACCGTCATATTATAACACCCCCACGCCTGAAAAGGCAAGCATGTTTGGTGGGACGGGGATTCGAACTCGCGACCTTCAGATTGCAAAGCAAGCGCCCTAAAAGGTTAGAGACAAAAACAAATTTAGACCTACTTCTGTAGTATTAGTGTCAGCCTTGGCAACTTATTAATTAAATTGTTATAGTACAAATCAAACACGAGATCTTCAAGTAGAAATCTAATACGTCTCTCAACGATCGAAACTGCAGTGGTAAACCAACAATGTACGGAATTTCAAATGCTAGAAAAAATATATATTATTCTAAAATTCCTATTAATTCCATTGAGATAAAAATGAAATTTTGGAGTTAATTCTAATGTTCATTTAGTTTTTGTCTTCTAAGTCAAAAGGAAAAGTTCAAAAAAGATCTAATTTTAAATCCTGGCTAACAAGTGAAACAGACATTAGATTCGCTTGGATGCGAGTGTTTAACGCTTGTCAGTGCAAAAATCAACGGAAGATAAATTATACTATAATAAGTATGGGCAACAAACAAATTATATCAAGATTTTAGAAAACCTACATAAAGATCATGATAATAATTAACGGAATTCTTTGACCCGAACATTGCTTTTGTATTTCCTAAAAACATATGAAAATGTTTTACTGCGTGATTTTGTTTGTGAGATTTGTACATAACACACGCTGTAAGTAGAGATATTTGACGTGGTTCAGCTAATAAACGAAACAAAGGCTAAAGTAGTTTGTCTGTGAAAAATCTGATGATTTTGCTGTGACGTGGTTTAATCAAAAAACGAGTCAAAGATCGAAGGAAGTCACGTGTTTGAGAATCTTGTGCTTGTTCTGTGTCATGGCGTATAAACAAGTTTTCCATTGGGCAACTTTAGTGAAGAAACAGAAAGAACTGTTCATTTAAACCTGACGTTTATCACTTGCACTATGTATGACAGTAATCCACGAAGTTTCTACTCCTTCCAGCTTGTTCTTCTCGATATTTCACTTGGATCGTGTACTCTCTTCAGCTTACATTTATTTTGTCAGCACTGTAACTCCAGGTTTTTCACTTCCCCTTCGAGCTCTCAAAAATTGTATTCTACTTTTCTTACCTGCTTCACGACCTCTTTTCAGTAATCACTCGAGACTTCTTCACCATCTTGACTTCCCCTTTTTTCTCTCAGTATTTTCACTCTAGGCTTGACTTCCCTTTTCTTCTCTCAGGGTTGCTGTACTCTCTAAATTATCTTTCCTCTTCTGAGTACCTTGCTCCAGATTTTCATCCTCATTAACTCTCTCTTCCTGCTCTTGGTATTTTCACAGGAGGCTTGACTTTCTTTTATTTCCAGTCTTCTGCTTTTCACAATTCACTTTTATTCCTCTTAAAATTAACTTCGAATCTTCTCAACTTCATCTTTTTTCTCATTTGTGAAGAAATAGCAATAATCTCGTGTGTTTTTATAAATTAGACTTTAAATAATCATATATATGTATATATCTTCGATTTATTACATTCAAACTTCAAATATCACATACTATTCAACAATTTTTACACGACGGCAATAACATGGAAAAGAATTGTAGAAATATGAAAAAAAACAGTTTTTCTTTTAAACATTTTTTTACAATTTCTATGTTAAGCAAAACAAAAATGTCAAGAATGCCACGATACATGCATAAACCAAAACGTGCGAGAGATTCAGCTGTGAAACAAAAGATGTATACGTTATATGTGGGGTAAGTAATGATTCAGTTTGATCCGCTCTGACTTTATCACGAGGAAAAAAGTCCTTAAGGTTATATCGGTTTTCTTGTAGCGATATTTATATACTTTTTTAATCCACATATTTTTTACTAACGTGAGTTGATCTTGGATGATGTCACTGACGAGTTTTATTCTCAGGAACTAAGAGGCGTCTCCGAACTTCCACATGTGGGTGGATGAAGTTACATTACTCAATATTAAATTAAATATTATATATTTAGTGACAAAAAAACAACAACAACTAGAGGTCACTAGAAATATTTCAACGAGCTATTTATTTCTCTCAGCAATGTCTTTATACATATAACTGCTGCTAATGTGGTGTTTCCTTTATCTGCATCTATAAGAATTGCGACTGTGTTGTTTTCTTTGTCTACATCTGTAACTACTAATACTGTAGTGTTTCCTTTGTCTACATCTATAACTATTGGTACTGTGGTGTTTCCTTTGTCTACATCTGTAACTATTGGTACTGTAGTGTTTCCTTTGTCTACATCTGTAACTACTACTACTGTGTTGTTTTCTTTGTCTACATCTGTAAC